TCTTGAACAAAATATGAATTCTTGGTTTTAAAATAAAATATCTAGGTTGCTAAGAGTTGGAATCGACTTGATAGTACATAACAATAACAACAAAGCAATCTGAAATAGCAAAAATTGACATTATTAAGATTTAATAATAATGGTATAGACACTGCCTGGATAATGTACTGGTGTTAACCATTGCTTTGCCAAACAGTCCATGGATTTCTTTCTGGAGTATTAAGTAGCTATACCTTTTGAGAAGTAAAATAAAAAATATCTAAAAGTTTAGGTATGTTAATAATGTTGGGAGGGATAAGTGGCCTGGAGAACCTTAAGCTAGTGATGGAAAAGAAGCAAAGGTAAATATAGGGATAGAAAAGTAGAACTTAACAGGTTGTAACAACAGATAATGCAATAGCAACTATAATAAAGTTCTATTATTAATCTGAATTATTCATACTGAGAAAAATCTATCTCCAAAGCAAAAAGGATGTCTCTATAGTGTACAGCTTTGTCTTCCCTTTCTCTGCCTCAACAAATCTTTGCCTCTGCATCCATCTTTTTCTTTGCAGGCTCGGGGGAAGAAGAGCTTGTCCTGCTTCCGTCTTACATTGGGAGGATCTTTGCTAGAGGAAAACTTAAGTCCTTTTCTAATGTCTTCATTATTTAATTTTTCACTGACTTTTTCCTTTCTGCTTTTTTAAATATACTGAAGCTTTCTGTGTCTTGAAGATACTTTAACCCTGAAGCCCTTTCTGATTTCTTATTTCATCCCTTTTTATAGCTAAACTCTAAAAAACTTGACTTCATGTCTTGCTTCTATTTTCTCTCCATCAGTTCCTCTTTCATCTACTGCATAATATCACTCTTACGACAAAAATGTCTCTCTGGTCATCAGCAATACCATCACAGACAAAATGTATTTCCTTAATTTTTATCTTTTTTAACTTGTCTTCTGTACTTGTCACAGTTGATTAGATCCAACTTTTTTGACATTCTCTCTACTTTGGCTTCCATAACACTTTTTCTTACACCTCACTGACCATTCTTTCTCAAGTTTCTCTTTTAATGAAGCCTCTTCCTTGGTCTCTGGAACTATGGATTTGGCTTGAGGTGCAGTTCTTAGCCTTGCATTTCTCACTTTATACGTACCCCTTGGAGAGCATATTCACTCCCTTAGTTTCAATTATAGTCCTCTTGCTAAAGACTCCAAATCTGTATTCCAGCTCTGACATTCCTTTTGTTTTTGTTTTTCAGTCCTAGTCAGTTGCTTTCAGGACATTCCACTTAAAGATCTTGCCATTAGGTGAAACTTAACATGTTAAATAACTACTTGTCTTCTCTAACATACGGTTGCCTCCTCTTAACTGCCTCATTTCTATCATTCAATCAGTGGTACCATCTTCTGAGTCTCAGGCTTATAATTTTGAAGTTGTCTTTAATCAATTATCTCTAGTCCCCATATTTATTAAATAAACAAATATCATCAGTTCACCCTCCAGGATGTTCAACCTTCATCGACAGCCCTCATTCTCATCAGCTCATTCCTGATCACTTAAACAGTCTCATAGTCTTTAACCATTCCATTTTAGGTATCTAAGACAGAGGTTGACAAACTACAGCCCATAGGCTAAATCTGACCTACCATCTGTTTTTGTTGGCCCATGAACTAAGAATTATTTTTGCATTTTTAAATGCAAATATTAAATGCAATATTTTGTGACATGTGAAAATTATATGAAATTCAAATTCTGGTGCCCATAAATAAAGTTTTATTGGAACACAGCCATACTCACTTGTTTATATCATTGTCCATGCTGCTGCTTTCATGCTACAATGGCAGAGTTGAGTAGTTGTGACAGAAACCACATGGCCTGCAATGCAAAGCTTAAATTATTTACTGTCTGACCCTTTCCAGAAAAAGGTTCTCGACCCCTGCTCTACAAGTTTCCTTATCTTGGTTTTTAAAGCCTTCTGTCAACTCTTCTTACCTTACAGTATAAGCCCCTTTGCTCTGATCTCTGATATGTACCCTGTTAATTCCTGTGATGTTTATGTTTTTCTCTTCTTGCCACCCTAGCAGTTCATCCTATACATTGCTCAGGACTCAGAGGATTATCTTCCATAAGAACCCTTTGTCTATGATTCCATGTTGATCTTGCCATTATTTTGAACCAGCTCCTCAAGATTTTTTCAGTCTATACCATATTTTTAGGCACTTACATGGAGCCCTGGTGATGCAGTCATTAAGCGTTTGGCTGCTAACCAAAAGGTCAGCAGTTTGAATCCACCAGCCTCTCCTTGGAAACCCTATGGGCAGTTCTACTCTGTCCTGTAGGGTCACTGTGAGTCAGAATTGACTCGACGGCAATGGTTGGTTGATTTTAGTGGCACCATGAAAGGAGGGCCTGATGATCTGTTTCTGAAGATTACAGCCAAGAAGACCCCTATGGAGCACTTCTACTCTGTAACACATGGGATCGCCATGAGTCAGAATCGACTCAATGGCAACAGGCTTGGTTTTAGTTTTTGATGTGTGTTTTGCTTTATTTTTTAGACATTCCAAGTATTATATTCCATTCTCAAATAGATTGTAAGTTCCTTTCTTGTAGGTACTTTTTCTTACCTTCATATGTGTACTCAGTAAGTAGTAGTTCATTTTGGTGAATCATCCTTTGTAACGTGACCATATGTATAGAGAATTTTTAGGAATACCCCTCCCTTTTTTTAAAATTTGCCTCACTTCTCTAATGGGAGTATATGCAACTAATGAGATTAGTGTTTTATTTTAATCACTTGTCCAGCATTTAAATTGTTTCACCTGGTTAGCAAATACTGTAATTTGAAGTACTACTTTATTTACCTGCTGGCTCCAGTTTCTTTCCCTGCCTTAGAGTTTAAGTGGGAGACTGGCAGGAAGCAAGGAAATTAAGTCAGCAATAGTGTCCGTGGAAACTAAAGAAGTTACTGGAATGCCCATTGTGCTTCATGGCACTATACCATGTTTTTAGTAGACAGGTTAATTCAAGAAAACACATATTTGTTGCCCTGAGTATGACATTCTAAAATGGACACACTGTGATAATACACAAAGTAGGAAAACAAAGAAATAGAGGAACAAGTGAACTCACATGGCAAAATAAATATAGCATTAAAACTAGCAGAGTTGAGTATTATCCTTAGTCTAAGGCCAGGTCATGATGTTGTAGTTGTTGTTAGGTGCCACCAAGTGAGTTCTAACTCATAGCGACCCTACATACAGCAGAACAAAACCCTGCCTGGTCCTCCGCCATCCTCTCCATCGTTGCTATGTTTGAGCCCATTGTTGCAGCCACTATGTCAATCCATCTTGTTGAGGGTCTTCTTTTTCGGTGACCATCTTCTTTACCAAGCATGATGTCTTCTACAGGGACTGGTCTCTCCTGATAATATGTCCAAAGTACATAAGACGAAGCCTTGCCATCCTCCCTTCTAAGGAGCATTCTGGCTGTACTTCTTCCAAGATAGATTTGTTTATTTTTCTGGCAGTCCATGGTTCATTCAATATTGTTCACCAACACTGTAATTCAAAGGCATCAATTCTTCAATTTTCCTTATTCATTGTCCAGCTTTCACGTGCTTATGAGGTGATTGAAAATACCATGGCTTGGGTCAGGTGCACCTTAGTCCTCAAAGTGACATCTTTACTTTTTAAC